TCCGGCCAGAAATCATCTTCCACTCGATAATTCTCTGCCGGGCAACTCCGAGGTCTTTCTGGATAAGATCCCGGTTCAAAAAGGCTTTCGCGGGGCCCACTGCCCCGATGAGCAAACGTTTCCCTGGTACCTTGGGTATCAAACATAGTCCAATCCTCTGAGGCTCTGACCTCTCGTTTTCCCCAATGCGATGGGGTAGGAGGAGGCCAGGAAATAGTCTCTTGCCTCGGGATCGCTCCCCCAACGGCACCTCGGTCTTCCATGAAGTCCGATGACAAGGCAGTGGCCGGGACGGCTCCTCGGTCCTCTGCCCGGAAAGAAGGTTTCCCTTCGGCCCCGCTCATGATCGATGTCAGACTCGGGGTGAGGGGGAAAAGGTGATTCTGAACAAAATGTCAGATCCCAAGTCAGGAGAACAAACCCACGTTCCAAAGAAGTAAGATTTATTTCCAAAGCATGGTTAGTCATGAACATACAGAGATTGTTCAGAATGACGACAATACACAGGGGCAAAGTAATATAGGAACTTCAAACTTGGTTAACCCAATGGGTACATTTCCCTCGTAAGGGAGCTGATTAGAAAAGGCGCGAAGCAGCCTGAGAATCACAACAGCCAATTTCATAAACACAAGTTGAGTTCACACGGGAAATCTAATTAAGCCCAGGCAACAAGACATAACACTCCGTCATCCACCTGCAGGAGAAACTTGGCAGTTACAGAAGCATACCAGAAGAGAATAACAAGAGGAGGGAAGGGAGGACGGGCAGGAATAAGGACGGGACGTGTCCCAGAGAAATGGCAGCTAGCTGACACTAAGAAACTGTGAGCTGGCTCACACTAGCTCATCTTAGAGAGAACACTGCTTGCAACAGCAGATATTCCAACCATTCTGCACTCCCTGCTGCCATTTGACACACTTACTACTTGCCAAGGTGTCCTGCTGTTATAATCCGTTTGTTCCATGTCTACCCCTGCTACGTGCCAAGCCATCAGTCCGTCCACATCTCTTTTAGCAGCGAGGCTGGAGAGAGAAAACGAAAGGACTGTCACATGGTTTCCTGGTAACTAGAACGAGCAATACTGAGTCATGCACGGAATGCTTCAAGTGCAGCCCAAACTGGAAGGGAAAGAAAGGGTCACAGTGCCACAGGCTGATCTACCTGGCTGCTTAAATCCTCTGCATCCAGAGGGTGTTTCGAAACGTATTTCCCCAAGAGGGGTGTGACGGTAACCAAACCCAAGTGCAGGCTTCAATTTCGACACTGGGGAATTTTTCGATTTGCAAAAAATAAAACACAGCACACAGACTCGCCCTCTCAGCTTCCTTTGGAGCCAAAGCATAACGGAACAATGTGGGGATTGAAAAGGGCATCCAGTGTTCCCTCTAAGCTGAGTTAGTGTGAGCTAGCTCACAGTTTTTTAGCCTCTGGCTTACACAGTTTTGTCTTAGCTCAGGAAGGACAGCTCCAGAGCAAACTAACGCAGAGTATGTCCAGAGTAGCCAAATGGCTCGCCCACAACGTTCATGCCAGGTGCTCACAAAGTAGAATTTTTGCTCACAAGACTCCACAGCTTAGAGGCAGCATTGAGGGCCACATGTCCAAAGCAGTGTTCCCTCTAAGCTGAGTTAGTGTGAGCTAGCTCACAGTTTTTTAGCCTCCAGCTCACACATTTTTGTCTTAGCTCAGGAAGGATGGTTCTGGAGCAGACTCATTTATGCAGCAGCCAAATCGCTCGCTCACAACTTTAATGCCAGGAGCTCACAAAGTAGAATCTTTGCTCACAGGACTCCACAGCCTAGAGGGAGCCTTGGTCCAAAGATCACAGAACTGGGAGGCTATAGATTTTATCAGTTCAAGTCAGTCTAAATCTAATCTAATCTATCGGAAGGTGGCTTCAGCTTTTAGGTGAAAGTCTGTGATAAATTTGAATTGCACATCTTAATCTGTAAAGGGGTGGTGGAAACTGCTCTCAAGTAACAGCTGATTTATGGAGACCCCATGTGGGGTTTTCAAGGCAAGAGACCTTCAGAGGTGGTTTGCCATTACCTGCCTCCATGTCACAACCCTGGCATTCCTTGGAGGTCTCCCACCCAAATGCTAGCCACGGCTGACCCTACTTAGCTTCTGACATCTGATGAGATCGGGCTAGCCAGTTTGGTGTAGTGGTTGAGTGTGCGGACTCTAATCTGGGAGAACGGGGTTTGATTCCCCACTCCTCCGCTTGGACCTGCTGATGTGACCTTGGGTCAGTCACAAGCTCTGGCACAGCTGTCCTTGAAAAAGAGCAGTTTGTGTCAGAGTTCTCTCAGCCCCACCCACCTCACAGGGTGTCTGTTGTGGGGAGGGGAAGGGAAAGGAGTTTGTAAGCCACTCTGAGACTCCAAGTGCAGGGCGGGGTATAAATCCAATCTCCTCCTCTTCTTCTTCTTCTTCTTCTAGCCTAGGCTATCTGGGTCAGGGCACCTTCTGAAACTATCTTCTAACAAAGGGAGCTTTGACTCAGGGCAGCCTGTACAGCGCAGGTGCAAAACAATGATAATGCGGTTCTAATGTATTCTACAGATAACAGAGAGATTGGCTCCTGCTTCAGTGTATATGGCGTGATAACCTTAGGTTTGGGCTCAGTGATGTCAGCCCCAAGAAGTGCAGATGGGGAGAGGCCATGGCTCAGTGGTAAAACATCTGCTTGGGATGCAGACGGTCCCAGGTTCAATCCCCAGCATCTCCAGTTAAAGGGATCAGGCAATATGTGATGTGAAAGACCTCTGCCTGAGACCTTGGAGAGCCACTGCCCATCTGAATAGACAATGCTGATCTTTGGGGGGGGGGTGTTATATGTGTATGTGCGTATGTTTGTGTGCGCATCTGGAAGTCATGGCGATCTCTGGTGACTGACTGTATGTGCACATCCAAGTCATGATGACTGACCCCCTACTGGGGGCCTGGAGGATATTCAGAGCGGTGGCTGAATAAAGCCTGCCCCTGTACTCCCGACTGCTGGTTTCCAAGGAGGTCTCCCATCCAAGTACTTGCCAGAGTCGCCCCTGCTTAGCTTCCAAGGTCTGATGAGATCAGGGTTGCCTGGGCTATCCAGGTCAGGGCGACAGTACTGATCTTGATGACCTAATGGTCTGAAGTCAGTATAAGCAGTTTCGTGTGGCAAATACTGTGTTGATAGCAGTGTATTATCGGGACCACATGTTTGGTGGTACAAGGAATTGGTCTAGAAGACACCCCCCCACACACCCAACACTCTACTTGCACTGCACAGGGCATTCAGCTTAATTTTAAGAGGGGACCCTATTTGGGTGGAAAGCCTTGCCATCATATTTTATTATCCAAGCCTCCAGATGCTGTTGGAAATGTATGTTTACAAGGTCTGATGATTCAGTCATTATAGGGTTAACTTGTATTCCTAGTATTGCTATTGTTTAGACTGACCTGGAAGGGATACCTGGCAGTAAGCCAATGGGGAATTAGCCCGGGAAAAGTAGCTTTCTACTGTGATACAGATTGGTCATTTGTTTCAGGTGACTTCCCTTCTAGGGGTCAAGAAGAAGGAGAGTTTCTCCATTATCTGTGTGCTTGTTTTGACTATAGGCAGCTTAGAAATGTAGCTGTTAGTGTTATGTTAATTTGTAGCAATCCTGTGAACCCTTTACCCTTAGAAATAAAGGTTTTTAAAGCAAAGAAATATCTTCTTTCCAATAGAGCAAGATCCATTAATAGTCTAAGTATTAAACACTTTTTGACTATTTTACAACAGATGCATCTGTCTTGGTTCTGAACCAGTGCTTAGAGGCTGCGGTCAGGTGGCCAAGGCACAACGAACGGAAGGTGAATCCCGACATGACAGAGGTAATGCTGATTGGGAAGGCTGAATCTGCTTGTCCTAGATGAAGTAACGTTTGCTTTTTTCAGAGCAGGTGAAGAGCTTGGGGGAGCTCATGGACCCCGCCTGGCATGATGGGCAGAAAAAGTGCCTTCTATCAGCTGCACCTGATTGGCCAGCTTTCTCATGACCTAGGCTCAGCTGACCTGGCTACGCTGATCCATGCTTGTGTAACCTCACAGTTGGATTACTGCAAAGAGCTCTTTGTGGGGCTGCCCTTGAGGACAACCCAGAAACTACTACTGGTTCAGAATGCAGCAGCCCGACTGGTATCAGAGGCTAGCCACAAAGAGCGTTATGTTGTCCACTTTGAAACAGCTTCATTGGTTGCCAGCAGTGTTCCCTCTAAGCTGGGTTAGCGTGAGCCAGCTCACAGTTTTATGCCTCCAGCTCACACATTTTTGTCTTAGCTCAGGAAGGAAGGCTCCCAAGCAAACCGATTTATGCAGTAGCCAAACTGCTCACTCACAATTTTAATGCTAGTAGCTCACAAAGTAGAATTTCTGCTCACAAGACTCCACAGCTTAGAGGGAACATTGGTTGCCAGGCTGTTTCCAAGTTCAATTCAAGCTGCCGGTTATGACCTTTAAGGCACTTCATTAAACCCCTTAATTAAAGCCAGTTTGGTGAAGTGGTTAAGAGCGGCGGACTCTCCTCTCCTCCACATACAGCAGCTGGGTGACCTTGTGTCAGTCACGAGTTCTCTCAGAGCTGTTCTCTCACAAGCAGCTCTCGAAAGAGCTCTCTCAGCCCCACGTACCTCACAGGGTGTCTAATGTGGAGAGGGGAAGGGAAAGGAGATTGTAAGCCGCTCTGAGACTCTGAGTGAAGGGTATAAATCCAGGGCGATTTCACACTAGAGCTGCCTCGTGGCGCAGCCGCCGTTTGCCCCGACACAAACATGTCAATTTCACACCCGAAGCTGCGGGGCTGCATTTTGACTTGCGGCTTCGCCCGATTTCCTCTGCAGTTTCGTGATCCTGGTCACGAAACTGCGGAGGAAATAGGGCGAAGCCGCGGGTCAAATGCAGCCCCACAGCCTCGGGTGTGAAATTGACAAATAGTGTCGGGGCAAACGGCGGCTGCGCCGTGAGGCAGCTCTAGTGTGAAATCGCCCCCAGTCTCTTCTTCTTCATGACCTGAGACCCATATATTTGAAGGACTTTCTCCTTCCATGTGTCCCTATGCAAAAACTACGGTCGTCAGGCAGTCATCTGTTGGCTCTCCCAGCCCTTGGGGGGGGGGGGGACCATCTGGCACTGACCAGAGCCCAGTCCTTTTCCATCGTGGCTCCAGCTCTGTGGAACGGGCTCCCTGAAGAAGTGAGAGGGGCCCCCACCTTGGAGATCTTCGGGAGGACCTGCCAGACCTGCCAGAGCAGTGTAGTGCTTAAGAGCACTAATCTGGAGAACCGGGTTTGATTCCCCACTTCTCCTCCACATGAAGCCAGCTGGGTGACCTTGGGTCAGTCACAGTTCTCTCAGAGCTCTCTCAGCCCCACCTATCTCACAGGTTGTCTGTTGTGGGGAGAGGAACGGAAGGCGATTGTAAGCCACTTTGAGAGTCCTTCGGGTAATGAAAGGCAGGGTATAAAAACCAACTCTTCTTCCTCTTCTTCTTGCCAGGGCTTTTGAGGGGGTTTGAACAGCAGGTGTCTTTTAAGGGGGGAGGGATCTGGGGCTTGTTATTTTATCTTTGGTTTCAGCCGGGGATGTTTAAACTATTCTTGTAAGCCACCTCGAACCAAGAGGAAAGGCAGGATGGAAATGTTATAAGAAAACAAGCAAACAAATAAAATGTTTCAGATACATTAAAAGTAAAAATATAAATTCTTTAAATTAGATTTAGGTTAGATTCTTTCTTACAGGCAGAGCTTGGTTCCTGCATCCTTTAGCTCTTCACTAGAAAGGTGAGCTCCTGTTTCCCGAAGGAGCTGTATTACTTTCATGTGCCTTTACAGGAAAAAGAAACGGTGTTTTAGAAAACTCAGATTCATAGTCCAGAGGTTCTCTTGCTTAATAAGGCAGCCGGAGATGTGAGTTGGCCCCGATCCACATTCAAAGGTAAGCGAGGGGTCTTGTGGGAGGGGGGGTCGGGTCTTGGGGGGGGGAGTGCTGTGCCCAAGGGACACTTGTCATGGACTACTTACTCAACTATCCAATCAACAGCTGAAAATAATGGTACCAACAACTCAGCAGTGTTTACTATAGCATATGGGAGATCACAGATCTTCCCCACTTTCCCTCCCATTCACAACCATCACTGCCTTCTGCTGAGGATCAATGAATCCAACCCTGTCAATTTATCACTTTCTAGGAAAGCTGAACTGCAGGCTGTGAAAGGTCGGTAGTTCAGCAGTTCGAGACCCGAGTGTGCCGCATGACGGAGTGAGCTCCCGGAGTCTCTAGTTCCAGCTCCTGCCAACCTAGCAGTTCGAAAGCAAGAAATTGCAAGTAGATAAATAGGGACCACTTTGGTGGGAAGGTAACAGCGTTCTGTGCGCCTCGGTGTTTAGTCATGCCGGCCACTTGACCACGGAAACGTCTTCGGACAGCGCTGGCTCTTCGGCTTGGAAACGGAGATGAGCACCGCAACCCTAGAGTCGGACTCGACTGGCTTTCGAGCAAGGGAAAGGGATAAACCATACACATAAATTTGTGCATTGAAGTCATGTATGGGTTACAAATACAATAAAAAGATTAAAGTTTTCAATAGCTGAACATACAATGATAAGCCCCTTGTAAGCCACCCTGAGTCCACTCTGCGGGTAGGGCGGGTTATAAATCTTAATAAATAAATAAATAAATAAGATGCCCCTCATCTCAGGAAACTTTTGGTCCTAGGGCCGACCCTGAGTGGCCCAGTGAACTTTCCATTCGCCCTTCTTCATTGGCATCCTACAATGGTCCTTATGTTCTGATTTTAAATATATCGATATTTCTATACTGCATTCATAATAAGAGTGTTTTCAAGGCAGCTTGTAAAGTCCATTAAAACAATTAGGATAAAAAGTTTAAAAACAGCATCCTAAAAATACATAAAACAGAAATCAGACCACTGATAACAGAGACAACGGATCGAAATAAATGAAAGCAGAAGCACCCTAAAAAGCCTAGCAATAAAAAATGGCGGGGGAAACCACAAGAGAGAACACAGGGCAATACTTCAGTTTAAAACCCGAAATAATAATAAATAATATAAATAAATAAAAATAAGAATGATCATAATTTTGTAAAGTGAAGCCAATGTATGATAAGTGGGGGGAGATTTTAAGCGTTTGTGCCCCCCTCTTTTCCTACCTGAATTCGATGGCATTCATCAAGGGGGTGGCCCCGTATCTGTCTTTGGCATAAACACTTGCCCCTGTCCTTAATAAGTACTCAACTAGTTCTACGTGCCCCTCACTTGACGCAACGTGAAGTGGGGTGCGGCCATCATAATCTTCACAGCTCAGGTTTCCACCCTGCAAAAGGGACATATATCGCATCAGCCAAGGAAGACAGAGATTGCGACACAACACTGAAGATTTCACTATACTGAAACACTAGTCAGGAACAAAACAAAGTTCGAGTCCAGAGGCACCTTTACGACCAACAAAGTTTGTACCTTCTTAATTGTGGAATGCCACCCGTATACATCCATTACCTCCACGCTTGAGAGAAGACGGATGGAGAGTAACAACAGGGTTTCAGTTAACTCTTGAGAGCCAGTTTGGTGTCGTGGTTAAGTGCGCGGACTCTAATCTGGGAGAACCGGGTTTGATTCCCCCCTCCTCCACTTGCACCTGCTGGATGACCTTGGGCAAGCCATAGTTCTGGCATGGCTGTTCTTGAAAAAGAGCAGTTTCTGTCAGAGCTCTCTCAGCCCCACCGACCTCACAGGGTGTCTGTTGTGGGGAGGGGAAGGGAAAGGAGTTTGTAAGATGCTCTGAGACTCCCTTGGGTAGTGAAGGGTGGGGTATAAATCCAATCTCTTCTCTTCTTCTCTTCTAACTACTCTCAGCAGTCAGCATTCCACAATTAAGAAGGGTTCATCTATCTACGATTTTGATATATTTATTTCCTTCACTATGTTTCCCCCTGGAATTAAACCCAAACAAAAGGTGGCCAGTTTGGTCCTTGCATCTGTTAAACACCTTTTATTATGCTTACGCTAATTTGCTGCTCACCCTCTACCTATATGTATGGAGTGGCAAATTGGCCAGTTTGGTGTAGTGGTTAGGAGCGTGGATTCTAACCTGGGAGAACCGGGTTTGATTCCCCACTCCTCCACTTGCACCTGGCTGGATTACCTTGGGTCAGTCACAGTTCTCTCAGAGCTGTTCTGGAAAGAGCAGTTTCTGGAAAGAGCCCCACCTACCTCACAAGGTGTCTGTCTCTTGTGGGGAGGGGAAAAGAAAGGAGATTGTAAGCCACTCTGAGACTCCTTCGTGTAGTGAATGGCGGGGTATAAATCCAATCTCTTCAATATCTCTCTTCATTTCAATGTATCTTAAGAAGTGTGCATGCACACAAAAGCTTACACCTCAAATAAACCTTTGTTAAAGGTGCCACAGGACTAGAAATCCGATTTCTTCTTCTTCTTCTTCTAAATGCTTGAGACTTGAGAACTGAGTTCCGACAGGAAACTGAATGTATTTCTGCCCTAAATGAGTAATCTTTGTTCATATTCTTCTGCCCGCGTCATCTTTTCTTTATTGGATTCTGCTTCCATTGCACAATGTAAAACTCAACAGCCTCTGTCTCTCATCGTTTAAAGAAAAGTTCTGTGACAATTTTGCTTTTGCATTCAGTTTTAAGACAAAGTTGTTCCGACTCACTTCGCTCTTCTTCAAGGTTTCATGGGCACAGACCTGTCATGCCACATGACCCAGAAGGGGCACCGTCATGTCCAGGATGTCGGGCCATGCTCCGGAATTTGGGCAAAACTCTATGGTAAACTTGGTTTCGACCACATAGTTTTTGCCCGAATACCAGAGTGTCACCTAGATGTCACTGGTGTGATGACGTCACTTTCTGTTCACCTGGGCAGTGACGCAGGCACATCGCTGCACGTCGGATGGATCTCCCTCTTTTTCAGGGTAAGTTCCCCCCTGCTGGCCAGCTGATCAGCAGCGGGGAGGTGAGGCCTGGCTACAGGGGACCCCCAACTCTACGGGGGCGGGAGTCTGGCAACCCTACCAGTACAGGAAGGTCACAATTACAGGTCTGGGCTTTACCCTGAATCGGCCCCATTACTTATATTTACCACTTCTTCAATGGCTTTCAAGGCATCCTTATCACCAGTTTTAGCTGCAGCGCATGCCAAAGACGGAATTAATGCTCCAAGCTCCTAAGAAATCAAACAGGTTAAAAAAAAGATGGTGTAGCGGGATTCCAGTACTACAAAGTGAGAAAGTAAACCTGGAAAAAACATGTACAATTTTCTCTCTAGTAACGGAATTTTTAAAAAACTAGATGTGCATCAAAAACAAAAAGAGTACCTACGTATAGAGGATAAATGTCTCCAAAACACAATGGGTTAAATCCCACTAGTGGGATTACTCCTTGTTCTGCGCTTGTGCTAAAGAGCCAGTTTGGTGTAGCGGTTAAGTGTGCGGACTCTAATCGGGTTTGATTCCCTCCCTCCTCCACTTGCACCTGCTGGATGACCTTGGGCAAGCCATAGTTCTGGCACAGCTGTCCTTGAAAAAGAACAGTTTCTGTCAGAGCACTCTCAGCCCCACCCACCTCACAGGGTGTCTGTTGTGGGGAGGGGAAGGGGAAGGAGTTTGTAAACCGCTCTGAGACTCCTTTGGGTAGTGAAGGGCGGGGTATAAATCCAATCTCTTCTTCTTCTAAATGAGAGCCATTTGTGCCCCTACGGTCCTTTCTCCATGCACTAGATATAGCACAGGGTATTTCTCATAAGAACATAAGAGAAGCCAATGTTGGATCAGGCCAAAGGCCCATCCAGTCCAACACTTGGTGTCACACAGTGGCCAGAAATACCATCAGGAGGTCCACCAGTGGGGCCAGGACATTAGAAGCCCTCCCACTGTTGACCCCCCCAAGCACCAAGAAGACAGAGCATCACTTGCCCCAGACTGAGAGTTCCTATCTATACCTTGTGGCTAATAGCCACTGATGGACCTCTGCTCCATATGCTTATCGAATTCCCTTTTGAAGCCGTCCATGCTTGTAGCCGCCCAATACAATTTCAAAAGCAAATTAAATGGAATCCTTTGAATCACCTGTTGTATGCTCCATAGGTGGAAAGCACCGTCGAGACACAGCTGACGTATGGCAACCCTGCAAGGTTTTCAAGGCAAGAGAGGAACAGAGGTGGTTTGCCATCGCCTGCCTCTGTGTGGCAGCCCTGGACTTCCTTGGTGGTCTCCCATCCAAATACTAACCAGGGCTGACCCTGCTTAGCATCTGAGATCTGACAAGATCAGGCTAGCTTGGGCTACCCAGGTCAGGGTGTACTCCATTGCACATGGTTGACATGATTGAGGTTTATAAGATTATGCATGGGAAAGAGCAGGTAGAGAAAGAGGTACTTTTCTCCCTTTCTCACAATACAAGAACTCGTGGGCACTCCATGAAATTGCTGAGCGGTCGGGTTAGAACGGATAAAAGAAAGTCCTTCTTCACCCAAAGAGTGATTAACACATGGAATTCACTGCCACAGGAAGTGGTGGCAGCTACAAGCATGGACGGCTTCAAAAGGGAATTAGATAAGCATATGGAGCAGAGGTCCATCAGTGGCTATTAGCCACAAGGTATAGATAGGGACTCTGGGGCAAGTGATGCTCTGTCATTTTGGTGCTTGGGGGGGTCAACAGTGGGAGGGCTTCTAATGTCCTGGCCCCACTGGTGGACCTCCTGATGGCACTGGTATTTCTGGCCACTGTGTGATACAGAGTGTTGGACTGGATGGGCCTTTGGCCTGATCCAACATTGGCATCTCTTATGTTCTTATGGTTATTGTGTTGAAAATGATAACAAAGCACCACATGTTACTTCAGACATCGCACTACAGTCTGCGCAAGCGGAACTGTGCTGTGTACGTTTTCCTTTTGGCTCACACACTGCTGGATCCAAACCAATGTATATGTGTCAAATATATCACCCATCCTACCCAAATGTGATTATAAGATTAAATACCCTTATTGCAGTTATTAGAACCACAGAAACGTACACCTTCCACATTTAATGAATTCAGCCTGCAGTGACAAAGCACCGATCAATCATCCTTTGCCAGCACATCTTCCTGTAGTTTAATCCTACTCCAATGCAATAGAAAAGAGCAAGAGTCCGTAGCACCTTAAAGAGTAAGAAAATTTGTGACTGGGTATGAGCTTTCACTTCTTCAGAAGCAGCTAGAATGTGAGTCCATCTGTCTTGGAGAGTGGAGTGATTTCAGATGCTGAATGACATTAGCAGGCAGATGTCAATAGCAGCTGAATGACAATAGCAGGCATGATTGGATTAGGTGTGATATGCAGAGGGTTTGAAGGCATGCAGAAATCAGCATTGGTAATGAGACAGGAAACCTGGGTCTCCATTCAGTTCAGGAGGATCCATTGTCTTGAACTTCATTATCAGTTGTAATTCAGCAGTCTCTTTCTAATCTCCCTTTGAAATTCCATTGTAAGAGAACTGCTACTCTTAGGCCAGCAACTGAATGTCCTGGAAGATTAAAATGTTCCTCCACTGGTTTTTAAATGTTGTGGTTTCTAATGTCAGACTTATGTCCATTTATTCTTTGTCATAGCGACTGGCCTGGTTGTCTAATGTAGAGGGTGAATGGCCATTACTGACTAGGAATGAGCATGAACCTTGTCACAAACCTAATTTTGTGATGAACATCACCAGTTCATAGTTCATGAACCAGAGGTTCTTGCCCATCCCTATCCACTAATTCCATGTGATTCTGGAGGATCATGGGGTTTGTGGTGGGAAGTGCGGGGAGTGAGAGGGATTGCTGGAATGGCTTGCATCCATCCTGTTAGGCTAAAATAGATGTAAGCCATTTCAATTTGCAAAAGCCATTTAAAGGGAAGGCTCCAAGGGGGGGGGGGGTTGAAAGGGATAATTGAAATGGCTTGCAAAAGCCATTTAAAGAGAAGGTTTCCTTTAAATGGCTTTTGCAAGATTTCCCCCCCTTTCCATTCTGCTGGCCTTGGGAAGCCACCACCAGCAGAAAAGAGGGAGGGAAGATCTCAAATCTTCCCCCAGACCTCACAAACCAAACTGATTCATTAAACAAGGGAGGTTCGTGTGGCCTCACAAACCAAGAATCGGGACGAACCTCCATTTCCCCAGTTCGTGCCCATCCCTATTACTGACATAGGATGGCATAAATCACATTAGAGGATGAACAGGAGTATGAACGTGAAATGGTTTGGCTGATGAGGCTGAATCCACCGATGGTGTTTCTAGGGTCTATATTGGCATATTGGTTTGTTGCAGGTCTTAGTACCAGAGTCCATGTTACTGTTAAGTAGTTTATCATTGCAGGTGAGGTTGTTTTAGGTTAGCAGGCTGTCTGTAAGTAAGAAAAGGTTGGCACCCCAGTGCCTGTGTGAGGGAAGTGTCACTATCCAACATGAATGGTATGTGAAAAGTACTGAGACTTATTAGTGATTTCAGCTCCCATACTTTATTTCAGCTCAGAACAAGACGAGAGTACCCAGCTCGCAGGCTGGTTTTTATGTGCGCAAACCCCGCTCCCCAAACACACCCACACACAAATGATTGGCTATTTACAGTGGCTGAGAGTTCCATAGGCTCTCAGCCGGGAGCCTAGCCTGCCGATAGCTGCCGGCCAGGATCCGCTTGTCCCATTGTTACTGAGAGCGAAGCTCGGTCGCTTCGCATGACCGCGTGGTGAAATGGCCGCGCATGCGGTCTGAGATGGATACATTACAGTATGTCATTAATAATACGCTGAACTGGCTTGAGTTATGAGCTGTATGTGAACATAATGCATACACTGGACTCTCACCCTTTTCTACTGCTTTAGACATACTAACACAGCTACCCATCTTGACCTACTCCAATGGTTTATACATTTTCCACATACCTGCCCAAACAAGCCCAAGCCCATCCAAAATTAGAGGAACATGCCACTGAGTAGCCAGGGCTCTTTTTGTAGCAGGAACTCCTTTGCATATTAGGCGACACACCCCTAATGTAGCCAATTCTCCAAGAGCTTACAGAGCTCTTCTTACAGGGGCTACATGAGGCGTGTGTCACCTAATATGCAACGGAGTTCCTGCTACAAAAAGAGCCCTGCGACCAACTCATACACCCCATGTACAGGGCAATCCATGAAAGAGGAGCAGAGGTGGTTTGCTATTGCCTTTCTTTGTGTCTTCTTTGGTGGTCTCCCATCCAAGTACTGACTGTGGCTGACCCTGTTTAGTTCCCAAGCTCTCACGGACTTGCTAAACTGGGCTTTCCAGGCTGCTAATCCAAAATTAGATATGCAGTTTCCAGCGATTTCATTCAATGTCAGTGATCACATTTGGCTCCACCTCTAATGTACCTTTTGGACTTGTCTGTTGTTGAGACCTCTCAAGGTTAACACGAGTTTCTCTTTTTATCATAATCTCTATTTCTTCTTTTAATTTTACAATACCTGCTCTACTTATGGTAATTAGTCTGATTTACTGTAGGATAATGCAGTGTGTAGGATGATATCTTTTCTCGCACTGATTGCAGGTTTTTTTTGTATTTGTAAAATTGATAAATGTTATAGAACGTTCTACGTACCAGGCTTATTACTGTAACTCATTGCTCTGAGAATATGTTCTGCTTTGGTGTTTTCAGTCTTGTTTGTACTGTAATCTTGAGTTCAATAAAACTTGGAAAATGTAAAAAAAAAAAAAAGAATTGCCTGTTTTGACAACCCAACCTATGCTTGCATAAATTCACGTCATCTGTTTACCTCTTTGCAGTTAAGACTTATAAACTTGCTGATCACTTTAATGAAATTGCTGTTTCTTAAGGAGCTTTGGGTTCCTGTGAGCGTGGAAGACATTTCTCCCCTAAGATTGTCAGCCAGCATCTGAGGGAAAGAGGGAGAAACAAATAAAAAATATATCCATTTAAAAGAAAAAAATCAGGAGAAGAAATTATTTCCCGAAAGTCTTGTTTTAATAACTCCAGGGTGCGACTTACTAACCGATATACCACTGTTGTTGTTCTACCGAAGCTTTGCAAAAGGTCACTGAATTATCCCCCTCCCTTAAAGTTAATCTGTCAACAGAACACAGTTACTCAAGGAAGCCAAGAACTAGTTCAGTTGGAAGAAATCTGCATTCACTTTTTCAGTACAGAAAGACCTGGTCAGCAACGAGAGCCATCGGCCTAGGCTTGCCTGTTCCCTCCACCGCTTGAGGCCAAACGGACTAGCTCCATGCTCCTGGGCCATTTTACCTTCCTGATTTGCCACTTCCCTTTCTGTACCTTTCTCTGCCCTTTGCTGTCCTTTTGTGATGGGGCAACTGGAACTGTTCAGAGCGCTCCACATGGGGCACATATTTCTATAGTGGCATTGCAGTTGTACTTTCTAACAAATTCGGACAAAGAATCTGCCCTTTTCTCCATCACTGCAGGGTTGTTTTTCAGAGAACTATGCACCAGGACCCCCAAGACTGCTCTGCTGCATCACTCCCAACTCTCCTGACTTTAAAGCAGGGCTATTTTGGGGCAGGAACGCACAGGAGCGGAGTTCCGGCTGGCTCCCGAGTTGGCCACGCCCAGCAGGAACTCATTAACATAATAGGCCACACCCAACAGCAGAAACTAATCAGGATTGGCTACATTAGGGGTGTGTGGCCTAACATGCAAAGGAGTTCCTGCTACAAAAAAAAGCCTTGGGTTTTGACAACAAACAAGGTAAACAGAATAAGAAGCAAAAGGTGGGTGTGGCTGGATGACCACACTTTTGGCAACTCGGGGGTGCATCCTAATGTGCTAATGAGCTGTGCTGGCAGGGGTGTGGCCTAATATGTTAATGAGTTTCTGGTGTTGGGTGTGGCCTGTTATGCTAATGAGTTCCTGCTGGGCTTTTTCTACAAAAAGAGCCCTGCTTTAAAGGTCATATATATGGGCATCCTTGGAGTCCCGATTCTATCTTGGTTTGATGAAGATGATCCTGGATTTGGGGTTTGCTATTTTATTTTAACTGAAAATGTTTTTAATTATTACTGTAAGCCGCCTAGAGCCACGAGGAAAAGGTGGGATGTAAATGTTTTAAGAAATAAAAATGTTATGCCAATAAAGGTCTATGTATGTGTGTGATGTACAACTTACAAAGAAATAGATTCCATGCAAACCAAGCTGCAGTAGTGAAGAGCACTTTGAGGACAACAATATCAAAATCAAAAGATTTTGCGCTGACCTGGATAGCTCAGGCAATCCCAATCTCATCAAACCTTGAAAGCTAAGCAGGGTTGACTCTGGCAAGTACTTGGATGGGAGACCTCCTTGGAATACTAGCAGTCGGGAGGTGGGGGCAGGCTTTATTTAGCCACCTCTCTGAATATTCAGCTGGCCACCAGTAGGGGTCAGTCATCAGAGGTCGCCATAACTTTCAGGCGCACACACACTCACACACACACACAGAGAAATTCTTTCTGCTATCTTGTTGACGTTTTTAAGTATCTTAATGTTGTTCTTAATTTTCATTATTTATTGTATTTGCCTTCTGATGTAAGCTGCCCTGAGCCCTGTTTGCAGTGAAACGCGGCCTAATAAATCAAATTTGATAGGGGGGAGAGAGAGAGACAGAGAGAGAGAAATACAAAAAAAATTAAAAAGATATATCAAAATCAAAAGAGGAGAAAAAAATAAATTAACAATGTATGTTTGACCTTCTTCTTCTCCTTCCAATTAAGCTGCCTCTTCCCCAGCACATAAGACAGTTTTGCCAAAGATGCTTCGGGCATCATGTCGCCTCCTGAAATTACTCCAACATGAGCAAGATCCTAGAAACAACAGCAAATGAGAGCTACAGCACAGACACGATTAACAGGGTTGGGTCCACACGGGACAGGGACAGTACACTAGTCAGGGTTATATACGTGGGGATTGTCTGCAAGAACCCCTCTTCAGTCAGCCCCAAAAGCAAAGCACAAAGATGAAGCTGCACAAGAAATGGGCTGAATCTTCCCTATTGTTGTGTCCGCTGACCGCCACCAGGGGCCAGCGAATACCCCAGAGCTTGACTCTGGAAGAACAATGGGGACTAGGCTCCTGGTCTCTCCACTGGGGAACCAATGGGACCATGGCGGGAGATTTAAACCCACCAACGGGACCTAGGGGTGTGTCCCCAGGTGTGTATATAGTTGGCCAGCCGGCCGTTAGTCTTTGTCTTTGTTGTGTCCAGTAAACCATGCTGATCACTACATCAGTCTCAGTGGTTTCTACATGCGTTTAACCTATGGTCCCCTCACCACAGCAGGCTGCTCCAACCCTGGGAAAAATCAATTCCTGTGGTCAAGGGACTGCTATGTGAGTTGGGAAGGGGGCCACGGGGAGGAGGAGAAGGAGAAGAGGAGGAGATTGGATTTATACCCTGCCCTTCACTCGGAGTCTCAGAGCAGCTTACAAACTCCTTTCCCTTCCCCTCCCCACAACAGATACCCTGTGAGGTAGGTGGAGCTGAGAGAGCTCTGAAAGAACTGCTCTTTCAAGGACAGCTCTGACAGAACTATGGCTTGCCCAAGGTCATCCAACAGCTGCAAGTGGAGGAGCGGGGAATCAAACCCGCTTCTCCCGGATTAGAGTCCGTGCACTTAGCCACTACACCAAACTGGCTCTTGTTGAGGAGGGTGAAGCAGGCCAACATAGTACTTCCCTCCCTCTTTTGCAAGTGCCAGCTCCACCAACACAAGAGGCAGGAGAATGATTTGTCCTCCTTCCCCAACTCCGCACCTTCAATTCTTAATTTCCAGACAGTACCTGTCCGGTTTCATAGGTCAAAGCCACAGACCCCCGCAGACACTGCGTGCAGTTGAGGATCACCACATTCCGCTCCTCCGTGGCCTGCCTCAACACTTCCAGCAAATCCGGACGGTTGTTTGGAGCATTTCCGCTTCCGTATGTTTCCAGGACAACCCCTTCCATTGGGGGCTGAAGAAATGCCTTCACCTGTTCAGATGAAGATAAGAAACAGCGGCATGAAAAATAAAACTTGCGTTAAGGAATCTTCATACATGTTCTGCAAAAAGTACAGCCAGTGTGTACACGCCCTGACCTGGGTAGCCCAGGCTAGCCCAATCTCATTAGATTTGGGGAGCTAAGCAGAGCTGGCCCCGGTTAATGTTTGGATGGGAGACCAGCAAGAAAGCCTAATGGCAAATCACCTCTGTTTGTCTCTCACCTTGAAAACCCTACAGGGCCGCCAAAGGTCAGCTGTGACTTGACTATACTTTCTACCACCACCGTGTATATAGCGTGGTGGATCCTACCAGTGCCCTCCCACTCCTTTGAGCACAGTTTTTTTTTTTTTTATATAAAGATTTTATTAGCTCCCCTAAAAAGGGGAGGTATTTCGCTTAAAAGAAAAAATGGGAAGGGTAGACAGTGGGAGAAAGAGAAGGCTGAGTGATATATAAACTGGTAAATTAAACTGTTAGTAATGTCCAATTAATCTTCTTGGGCTTCTTCTGTGTGTTGTCAAACTTCTTTTCTTGGTCCGGTCACATGTAATTCTCTGTTAGTATGTTAGTAATGTTCCCTTGAGTTTCTGTTAATAATAAAAAAAAAGAATCTCTTCTGGACACAGTCAGAACCGCTTCTTTGCGTGCTGGGCACTTTTACTATCGCTGACGAGGAGGGGCTTCCTCTGTTGTCTTCTACTTCCGGCTTGTTAGATCCTCCTTCGGGTTGCTGTTAACACACTCAGTTCATGCACTATAAATCCTTTGAGCACAGTTTGAAGCCTTACACCAGCTTAAGCAATTTGCCTTTCAACAACTTATAAGTGGCACTTCCTCCTTAGCCTGGAGCAGGCCCAGCCCCCCAACCTGAAACAGGGGAGGCCGTGGGTGCCTGCTCTCCAAGCCGTGAGTTCACGGCTGGGAGAGCAGGCGCGAGGCCCCCACTTCTCCTCCAAAGCATTTAAAAGGACCCTTTAAATGCTTTGAAGGAGAAGTGAGGGGAGGCCAAGTGGGTTTTGTAAAACAATGGAGAATCCCCCTTAGAGAAGCTCTGGATTCCCTCTTCCCCTCAAAGTAGGTTCCCTTTCCTCTTTTGCATCCCATGATACTCTACCCCCCCTTCCCTGATGAAAATGGCTCCAAGGGGTTTTTGGCTATTGAGCTTCGAGGATCTGTGAATATCAGGGGCTTCAGTGAGAATTACCTGAGCCCCCTAGCCAGGCATGCCTCTTAATCTGACCCTGCACCTCCAAACCATCTGCGCTATATCTCCTCCATCAGATTTACCCGATCTTGCTGAGAAAGACTAAAGAGTGATACTAAAATGTATTTGAAAATGGCGCCCAATGATTTGCTCTGGATTCCGAATGAAAGAAAGAGGGCAATGATTGGCTGCTGGTGTCGGCACTCCTAATGGGAATGACTGCTTCTTTCAGCACAGGCGCCTTCCAGTGCTGAAATGTTTCACCGCTGGCATGCAAACTAAAAAAACACCCACCCAAACCCGCCCTTTCTGGGTGGGTTTGGGCAGCAATCTTCAAGGCAGGGGAAAATGTTCAGATTCCGAGAAAGAGGCTTTCTTGCAAATCCATTTCACAATGAAAACAAAAATTACAGGAGAAACCAGTTTTAAAAGGAACTGGGACGGCACTGGGATGTTTACAAAGTTGTCTGGACCCAAGGAAAAAACTGGTAACACTGGGGAATGAGAATGGAACTTGAAGGCAGTCCGGGAAATGCCCTGGTCATTGCAAAATCTGGATTTTCGGGAAAGGGTGTGCCGTGCAGATGATGCAGCGAAGAGCACGGGCATTGGGACACATGGACAGAAAGCAGTGCCAACCGGATAAATCCTGCCCACATTAAAAGTGGATAAATCCTGGTGTTATTTGGTGTTTCCCAACACTCTTTCAAGTGGATGAAAAGGTTAAAAAGTTAGACAAATCCACAGGGGTCTGCATTAATGTCCTTTAGCAGCACTACATAAAAGTGGGAGAGTGGGACCCAAGAACCCCGTTTTTTTATTTATTTGGTTTGCTTTTGCTTTTGCTTTTGACCCATCGCAACTCGGCTGTGTGCCTAGATCACATTTGAGGGGCAGGCACGCACGGTGGCAGCAGTAATCCCTGGGAAGATCCTCAGCAACCCCACGTTCCTATTCATATCAGTGTGGACCTCAAACTTTTTCGTGGTGTTGGCTCGCCATATGATCCCCCAGTCAACTGTCAGAAAGAAAATAAATGGGGAAGAAGTAAGAAGAAATGTTACAGAGGACCAGAGTGTACGAATACTTCAAAGAAAAGAGAGAAACCACACACAACGTCTAATTACAACGGCAAATTTGGATGGGGAGGAGGAGACCAAAGAGTTGCAAAGGTCTCCAGGTGTCTTGTAGACTTCAATTTCAGTAGAGGTTGGATCACCTAGAGGCACAAAAGGGCTTTTCTGCATGAGTTTTTCTCATCAGTTTTGGCCTATATGGCCAGGGTCCGACTTACCTGAGGGACCGCCTTTCCCCACATATATCCCCAAGAACACTTAGGTCCGGGGCGCAACATCGCCTGGTGGTTCCAGGTCCCCGGGAGGCAAGGCTTGCCGCGACTAGGGCCAGGTCCTTTTCGGTGGCGGCCCCTACCTGGTGGAACGAGCTCCCGGAGGAGATCAGGGCTCTGCGGGATCTTATGCAGTTCTGCAGGGCCTGCAAGACGGAGCTCTTCCGCCAGGCTTTCACATAGGGGCCGCCACTACCACTACCACAAATGATGTGGACAACATCGGGGTTAAGGATGGCCTGGGAAGATCTGCCACAATGTTCCGTGATCGATATTATTGGACTCACCTGGCCCCACCCATTTTCTAGTAAGACTTGGCAGCAACCAGAAAAAAGATGTCAATGCCCACCAAGGTGCCCACAGGCACCGTGTTGGGGACCCTGCTCTAAACTCTGTGGAGAGTCAAAGTAGAAGCTAAGCGGATGCAGGAACAGGCGAAGCAATGGCGTTTTCACTGGCCTCTTGCCCTCTTCGGTCTCTTAGTGGTCCCAAAATTATTTCTACTTATAGTTCTGTTCTGATCAGTTTTATTGATGCTTAAACTTACTGCTCCTCACTTTGAGAATTACTTGAAACATGGGAAAAAACTTTTCTGAATAAACAAATGATAAAAGGACTATAGACAAGGCCTTGGATTAATCCACCCAACACTAAAACCACACAAAAAATAAGAATGGTCCTTTCAGGGAGATGTAGCATCTCACTTACTTTTGATATCCACTTCAGCGTTTGCAAGGGGAGGCAGGTTGGGTGAGGAAAAGGCATCAAAACTCCCAGCGTCCACCTTAGTCACCCTGTTTCCCCTGTACAGTTTGTGGTGAAAATAGAGGCACACCTGCGTGAAACGTAATGAAAATTTGCCTTGAGGAGGCTTTCTAGGGTTGCCATTTAACAAGGAAAGAAGGAAGGAAGGGAAGGAGGGAGGGAGGGAGGGAGGGAGAAAAGAAGGAAGGGAGGGAGGAAGGGAGGAATTGAGGAAGGGAGGGAGGAGGAGGAGAAGAACCTCAGCAGGGGATAATGCCATAGGGTCTACCCTCCAAAGCAGTCATTTTCTCCAGGGGAACTGATCTCTTGTCATCTGGAGATCAATTGTAACAGTGGAAGATCTCCAGGTCCCACCTGGAGGTTGGCAACTCGGGAAGGAAGGAAAAACTGGGAGGGTTTTTTAAAAAACAAAAACCTGTGATGATGAAGACTGCTAAAGAATATGATCAGAGCATACACAGTAAGGGTCAGGAAAGCCATCATGATCAAAGAGTCGATTTAAAAAAATTAAGAGTCGGGGTGTGTGTGTGTGTGCGCGCGTGCCTGCAGAGCTGGTCTCTCAGAGGTTGCCGCCGCCGCCTGCAGTCCTGACTAACTTCGCCGTTTACGATTGCCCCCCCCCCCCAATTCGGCCCCAGTTGCGGGTACAGGGGACTCTCCATTGTTCATCTTGTATAACTGGCTAGCCCCTTTCTCTCGAAACTCGCTCTAGTCTTTGGAGGGAGGACGATTCTTGGGACTGCGTTTGGGGGCTGCGAGCGAGGTCAGTCCCTTCCCCGGCCCCCTCCCCCTCGCATTTCCCTGAAACCCAGGGTACTTCCTGGTGTTTCCTTGCTGGCCATTAGGTCTGATGGAATCCTGGCTCTTTCGCTTCACATGGTAATTTGTACTTTTTCAAAATAAATAGGCCAGCGGGGGTACCAGGGGTTTTCTCTCCTCCAACGATCCCTGTCTTATAACAGAAATGCTCAGGCTTCAGTTGCCTCAGAAAATGACAAATAATTAGGCCTGGTTTACTCATCAGGAACCACAAGATGTACAATCTCAGACTGCAGGTAGGTAAAGTCATATTTTTAATGCTTCCTTATGTGGGAAAAGATCCCTTCAAATAAAAAAAAAAATCACTACATAATGGAGAAAGTTTATAGCCAACTTCTTCGAAGCTGTGCTAGTTTTCCACTCCCACTTCAGAGTGCCAACACCCCATGCTACTTCTGGGGGGGGTTTCCCTTAGGAACAGCATTTGGGGGTCATTTTGGACTGCAGCAAGAGGGGGAAAGAGAGGAAGCCGCAGGAGGAAATCCTTTCTGTCAGTGGGAATTAACCAGTGGCTCCAACCACTGGGAGGGAGTGGGGGAGAACTTACCAGGAGAAAAAGAAAGGCCCAGGCCACATCACCAGCATTGCACAGGAAGTGACTTCCAGGTGACACTCTAGTATTTGCATCATGCCAGTGACTTCCAGGTGACACTCTAGTATTTGGGCAAAAACTCTATAGTAAACCAGCGTCTACCATACAGTTCTTGCCCAAATACTAGAGCGTCACCTGGAAGTTCTTGACATGATGATGTGTCCTGTGCAATGCCAGCAATGTGCCTTGGGCCTTCCTCTTTCTACTGGTAAGTCCCCCTGCCAGCCAGCATTTTGCAAGACACAACAGACCTCAGGGATGATGAACTGTCCGGCGATCAGCAGCGCCCCCAGCAGGTTGGAACGCCCATCGTTCCTCAGTTCGTAAATAGGGACCTAGAAAACAAAAGATCAAAATCCCAAAGAAAATGCCTCCCACACAGCAAAATATACTTTTTAAAAAGTAATTACTCTAAACTTCCTGACTGGTAAATGGGACAACAAAATGCAGCAGTTCTATAGGAGGGCTCGCTGCCATCTTAACCAAACAGTATAACAGGAAAGACAATCCCACCGCACACTGGGCCCATTACCTGAGATCCCGTCAGGACAATGGTTTTACCAACGTTCTCACACATGAAAGATAAAGCAGCTGCCGTATAGGCCATCGTGTCTGTCCCGTGAAGAATCACAAAACCATCGTACTGTTCGTAGTAAGTCTAGCAAGTCAAAGACACTGACATAAGACATCTTTTTTAAAAAAACAAACCCAAATTAATTTGGCTTTTGAATAAACAGAAACATTTGATATACAAAATGGTTCGATCATGACTCTGTTCATTAAAAACGTGAAATGTTCATATTCAGAAACAGTGTATAACTTTCATTGCCCTTACAATAAAACCGATTTTTTTAGAAAAAAAGAAGCTGAATACATTTATAATCAAAACAACCACACCCACTGTGCTAAGCACGACAAGAAGGAATTCTAAGATATTTATCAAACATTTGATAAGTAAAAACTACAAAACAATATATTAAATATATATAACATTTTACAAAACATACTAAAATACAATGGGGCGGGGAAACGGAATCCTGACTATACAATATGATACCTCAAGATCTTTGGCAATCTTAGCCCAGTCTTCAGTTGTCATGTTACAAGAATCAAGCAATGGTGAATACTCCAGAATCCTGTAGATAATTCTTTTCTTTCTTTTAGATAGACTGAATAAGGCAGAAATAATAATAAAAATAAAATGGAACACACACAACTTCCTCATTCTTGTAATCACCAAAGTTGCACCTGAAGCATCTGCATTCTTGGACAGGTTTGCACTCGGGTTCCTAACCACCAGGTGAGGCCAAGAGATCTCCCAGAATTAGAAATAATCTCCAGACAACAGAGATCAGTTGCCCTGGAGGAAATGGTGATTTTGGAAGGTGGGCAATATGGCACTATTATCCTGGCTGATAGCCCTCTCCTCCACGCCCATACCCAGGATTTTGTGATTCAGGGGGCCTTTAAATAAGTCAGGGGGCACTGACATCACAAAATAAAATTTAATATATATTTTTTAAAACCTCACTTTTGCAGTGTCTGCATTCTTCCTGCCTACGTGAGGAAGGAAGCCACGCTTGGGGAAGGGGAGGCAGTGGGGAGTCCTCTGGGCGGCCCAGAAAGTCAGGAGTTCTCTGGGCGGCCCAGACAGCCGGGGGCCTGGGGGCTGGGTGGAAGTCTTGGGGCCTTGGCAGGAAGTCGGGGATAGGCCCTGAAATAGGGCTGCCAAGTGGGGGCGGGGGGCAGGTAAACCCCCGCTTTGGAGGCCAAATTTCCGTCGCCACGGAATCAGGCCCCGGGGGGAACTCCGCCCCCCCCGAAGCGCAGCGTGGTTCATCAGATCATCGGAAGGAAAACTATGGTTTTCCCTCTGACAATTGTGGCCACGCCCTCAACGTGGTTGACGTCGCGCATCACTTCTGGTGACGTGCTGGCGGCGCACGCGCGCATCCGGATAGAGCTCCCGGAGCCCAGCGAGGCTCCCTCGCCAGTGAGGGGTTTTTTACTTGGCAACCCTGCCCCAAAATGCCCCACTGTAGCTATGGGCCTGCTCTCCTCCCAGGGCTCTTTTTGTAGCAGGAACTCCTTTGCATATTAGGCGACACACCCCTAATGTAGCCAGTCCTCCAAGAGCTTACAGTAGCCCCTGTAAGAAGAGCTCTGTAAGATCTTGGAGGATTGGCTACATTAGGGGTGTGTCACCTACTATGCAGAGGAGTTCCTGCTACAAAAAGAGCCTGAGTCCTCCCCAAACCTCACCCTCCCCAGGCCCTACCCCCCAAATCTCCAGGTATTCCCCATCCTAGAGTAGGCCACCCTAATTCACACGAAAGGCCACTTCTCATGAAAGTATGTGAGAGAGCCCTGTTGAGCTCAGAAACATGCACAGTTTATGCAGTGGCACTGTTTGCATGAACTGGAACTTCTCCATGCACATGGCTTAAACGTGGCCATTGAGAGGGAGGAGTCGCTGCCCAGTGGTAGAGCATCTGCTCGGCATGCAAAAGGTCCCGGTTTCAATCCCCGGTGCCTCCAGTTAGAAAGGCAATGTTAAGTCCGGCGCTTAACAATGAGTCGGAGAGTGATTTCAGCAAAGACTCAAGTTTATTCAGCTCTTTGTTCACTTCTTCGACACCGTACAACATCTGATAGCCCGAACAGTTTGCCCATTGAAACTGCCCGGTATTTAAACATTCCCGGCTAACATAGCCACTCCCACTATACACATAACAACCTATCAGGTTGAGCGCATAAGGACCAATCACAAACGTTCCCGCTTGCAGCTTGCTTGAATGTGATTGGGTCGTGAGTCTTGGACTAGGATGCTCTGTCCAAGACGAAGCTTAACATTGCTTCCCTATGTGATGATTCACATAAAACCTCCTGTACTCATGGCAGCTATGAATACATTACAATTCCCTCCCCCCTAAGCAAAAAATACCTCAAGAACAGTCGTAATCACTTAGGTAGGTGGGTGCACGTCTCGTTCTCTGAGACCTACGAGGTGAACTCGTCTCAGGGCATCTGTCCCTCAGTGGTACTCCGTTTGACTCTGGGACCTCAGAGTCAGGAACGTCCCCGTCCGTTGCATGCGGTACAAAATTAGGGGTCTGCCCTGTCTCTTGACCGCTACCGTAGCCCTCAGGCTCTACAGTACCTGCCTCTTCTAAAGGCCATGGGGGTTCCTCTGCGGACTCAGCCGGCTGCACGGTAGGACGGTCAGTTGCCCACCGCTGCCTCAGCTGGTCTATGTGCCTACGCCACTTGCGCCCATCTGCAAGCCGTACCACATACATTCTAGTACCGATAACATCGGTGACAGTGGCTGGAAGCCACGAGTGACCACTGGCATAGTTACGAGCATACACTTGCTCACCCTTTTCGTATGTCCGGACCTTCGGACTCTCGGTCTGTGGTTGTGGTTTCATATCGTTCAGATCTGGATGCAACCTATCTAACAGCGTTGCTAAACGGCGACCCATTAACATCTCGGCCGGGCTGCGGCCTGTCGCCGAACAAGGGGTAACATGTTGTCTCAGGAGAAACGAAGCTAGTTTCACCCCCCAATCACCACATACCAGCTTTGCAAGGGCTTCTTTAGTTGTTCTCACCATTCTCTCGG